GGAGGTTGGATTAGATGATCTCTAAGGTCCGTTCCAGCCTATGCCACTCTATGATTCTATGATTTACTGCAGCTTGTAATTGCTCAGTACTGAGAGATGCAGCAGCCCTAAAAAGGGCTTGTTAAACAACCTTATTAATTGACAGGGGGTCACAGACAATCAAGCTCATAGCAAAGCAGCACTAACACAAGTCTGATTTTATCTCACGACCCCTTACATGGGATATTGACAATCATTGCCCAAACCAATTTTTTTGTAATTTTGGAAGGTTACCTCTACTGCCTATCCCTGTCTCTAAGGAGTCTACTCTCAGAACTCCGTAAATAAAACCTGTGGTGTTATTTTTCTGTCTTTTCCCCAACTCAGCTGCATATAGTTTTAGAAAGAGCTTGTATGGAAATAAGTATGTGTACATAGTTTTAAAAAATGCTTTCTCACGCTCAGATAAAAGGCTATAGTGTAAAGCAACAGAGAAGCAGACAAAAGCAAAGAGGACCTGAGAAAAATATTTCATACGCTGCTAAAAGGTTTGAATTCTACTGCCCATTTCCAGCTGATTGTTGCACTATAAATAAAGATTTAAGGAGCTGTCAGCTTACACATTTGCAGGTATTTCTATATGTGCACACCACTTTCTAGAATGATATAGGCTTTCCAATCAACTCAACTGAAGTAACAATATATAGGGGAAAAAACGGGTATCTCCTACTGTAAGAAATTGGAACTGATCATCGGAAAAAGCTCAGGCTTACAAAGAGAAACGTGGGTTTGCTAGACTAATGCTTGAGATTTAATTTTTAAGTAGCAGAAATGGTTCTCCAGAGCTGTGGAACAGGCCAGGCCCTTCCTTGATCCTTGGCTACATTATTGAACATGCTGTGAGAGATACTTCATACTTGGATCTTTTTATTGACCTTAGGTTTTATTTTTCTTTTTGTTGTGGGTTTTTTTTTTTTTTTTCATCTCTATGCCTGTGAAGAATTGCAGAAGGTCCTTCTGCAATAGGTGAGGGGCCAATGGAGGGAGCATTTTATTATATTGTTGAATAGGATGCATGTCATAACAGAAAGATGAGTTAGAAGGATGCTCCTAACCAACTCTCTGTTAGCTGCTATTCCTAATCTGACTGCAGAGATATTTAAGAGGGCTTTCTCTCAGCTGATGTTGGAGTCTGTCTCCCAGAAAGGTGGGGAAGAAGAGAACACTGCAAACAGGATTCAGTTTCAGGTAGCTGGTTGAAGCTGAGCTCTTTCACTGCTTGGATGTGTAAGCAATGGGTCAGTAAATTCATCAAGTCAAAATCCAGGGCAGAAGCATGAGCTTAAAATAGAAAGCATGGGTATTTCCATGTGAGTTGCAGAAACTCTGTACTGAACCTTTGGTCCAAAGCCTGCAATACTTTGTACCTTGTAGAACCAGGCATCATTAAATTTTCTATTTTATAAGCCAAAAGTCAAGAACTATTATATCCTGTAAAGCATGCAACTTCCTTCTGGGACTTAGTTAATAAAAGTAATTTGTAGTCAGATGGTTTTCTCACTGCTTTACTCGGTGTATTAATTGTTATTGCTCTATACTACAGCAATTACTTTCACCCATACAGCAATTCATATGCAAGAAACTCACTAAAGTCATTTGAACTTTG